CGGCGGGGGTTGTGGGTTTTTTTTAACTGAAGTGTGCGCATGCGCCGTTGGGTGCTTGTGCGCATCCCGTGGAGACTTGGAAAAAACCAACCTTTTCACGATGGGACATGGGCGGGCGCCGGATCAGACGCCCACCCTTGCCCCGCGGTTTCCGGAAACTAGTACCTCAGAGGTACTAGTTTTTTACGGTGCATCTTCGCGGGAAGCCTCGGGTTAGCCACGGGAGCGCTACACTTCCCAGATGTTGCAGTTTGATCGCGCCCAGAAAATCCGCCTATCTTCCGTCTCTGTAGCGTGGCTAATGCTCCGTGTGACCGCAGCCTTTGTAATGCAAGGGATAGCTAAAATGCACTCAGCCTGAAGAGAATGCATTGGACTTTGGATCACCAAAACAAAGCTGGCATTCCGCAAATATGGATATGTTCCTGCCACCAAAAATGGCCTCTTCCCCAGTTTGAGGATTAAAACTATTTTCAGACTTCACTTACAGGATTGGACTACAAATTCCACCCCTCCTCAAATCCATGGCTGCTTTTTAGGGTAAAAGGGAGAACTGTTACACTATTCCATTTCATCATATGGATGGCATTTGCATGCTCTTTGCCTTAAGAGCTGGTCGCTGGTCTCCATTAGAATGTCTCATTTTCAGAGTTCCCTATCAAACGGGATTATATATGCTCCAGATTTCTATCTGTTGTGATATTACCCCAGTGCTTTCAATATACCCATAACTAACACCCTATAGAAATGATTATGCATAAGAATAAGAGAAGAGGAAAGGCCAGCGACGGATAGCTGTAACAAGGTTTTACAGACTTTCATGCATACCTTTATTCTGCTGTCATGGTTTCATCAGCATTACCTGTTTCAGCATCATCTGTTAATCAACAGAGGCTAGTTTGAAGTATTTATGGAAGAACTTTGTTTCATTTCTGTTTTAAACTCCTTCATTAGAGAACCGTAAAATAGTGCATTTAGTATGGATATTATAGCCCAAGGTTTTTGTTTGGGGGGTGACTATGGCTCCTGCATTTAATACGGCTTTTCCCAGGATGCTTGAAACTATTGCTGTATGTCCTAGTGGTGTCAAACAGTGTCATCCTAAATAGTTATACCCATCTAAGTCCATTGAAGTCCACGGGCTTAGAAACTAAACTCTGCTTAGAATCTAATGCACATCTAGATTCCAGTCCAGTAGCACTTTAATCCTAATGCAGGTTTACCTGAAAGTGGGCTCCAAAATAGTGGAAATACTTCTACGTAGGCATATTATTAACCTTGACATAGATGGTCCAGACTAAGCCCAATCTCATCAGATCTTGGAAGCTAAAAAGGTTCAGTCCTGATCAGTATTTGGATAGGAGACTACCAAGGGATACCAGTGTCACTACACTATCTTTTGCCTTGAAAACCCTATGGGGTCACCATAAGTCCATTGTGATTTGACCACACTTTCCACCACCATTGGGCATATGAAAAGTGATATCCATATGGAAAATGTTTAGTCTCTGCCTGTTGACCATGGCAGTAATAATAGCATCAAATCAGTAGTTTCAGCTGTTTAGCTGTGAAGTCTATTTTGCTTGGAAACTCACCATTTTAAACTATTAGTATCTTTAAAAAAATCTGTCTTAATCATACTAAAAGTTTCAAGATTTCCAGTTACATGCCTGGTGAAGTAGTTACCATGGTAGTGGAATCTGACACAGGTGCTTCCACAGGGTATAGTAACTCTGAATGCAGCAGGTGAAAAAGTGAAACATAAGTGAAGCAAAGAATACTGGGACAATTTATTGGGACTTCTAGGTTCACAGGCAGAACCACTCTGATTGTTGTGTGCCAGGAAGAATGCAGCTGGAGAGGGCTGTTGTTTGTGAGACCTGTTTGTGAGCTCTCCTGTGGCATCTGACATGCCACTCTTGGAAACAAGATACTTAACTAGGGCTGCGGTCACATGGAGCATTAGCCACGCTACAGAGACGGAATATAGGTGGATTTTTCCGGGTGCGATCACAGCACCACATCTGGAAAGCGTAGAGCTCCCGTGGCGAACCCGAGGCTTCCCGCCGAAGATGCGGGGTAAAAAACTAGTACCTCCGAGGTACTAGTTTCCGGAAACCGTGGGGCAAGGGCGGGCGCCTGATCGCGTTTCCGGTGGTAAGTCGTGGCATCCGGCGCCCGCCCATGTCCCGTCCCTAAAAGGGTTTTTCCCCCAAGTCTCCAAGGGATGCGCACAAGCACCCAACAGCACATGCGCACATGCACACTTTGTTTAAAAACAAACAACACAGCCCCCTCCTCTTTTCCATACCCCCCCACACACTCCTGTCTCGGCCTGCTCAAGAGGAACTCTGCACCGGGCGGCAGAGGGGGAGGTGGCGGGGGTGGTGTGTGATCGGCACCTCCCCCCTAACCACGGGACCTCTACGGGACCTCTACTGGACGTCTGATCACGCAACCATGCGTTATTTTGCTCTGGGGCAAACAGCCACGCTTCTCCCCCCCCCACACGCATTTTCCTGCCCGTGTGACCGGGGCCTAGATGGACTATGCTGGTCTGATTTAGTGTGATTCCTATTTTTAGCAATAATTACACTGCCCTCTGTTAAGTTTCAAGAAGGCTGAAGCTATAGCGAAGCTCGCTACACCCCTTTCAAAAATCCTCAGCATATGGGCTTATCTGAAAGATAAGGTAGAGAACACAATATTATTTCCTCTATTCCTAAACCTTAGTTAGACAGACAGACAGACAGACAGACAGACAGACAATAGATAGATATCCTGCCTTTATTCTGCCTTTCTCTCGGATGGGGATCCAAAGCAGTTTACAGCTTTCTTCTCTCCTCCATTTTACCCTCGCAACAACCATGTGAGTTAGGTTCGGATACATTTATAAGACTGTTTCCTTTATCCTTAGTTGTAGTCCCTTCCCTAATATTTCTTTGTAGTTTTTGTAGTATTTGCAAAATAAAAAATATCCCTCGGGGATTAAAAAAAAAAAAGACTGTCCCAAGGCCGCCCAGCAAGCTTCCACGGCAAGGTGGAGATTCAAACCTGCGTCTCGCAGATCCTATTCCAACAATCTGACCACCACACCATGCGAAAAGGACCACAGAAATAATATATAAAATGGCAGTATCTTCAGAAACATAGAAAATTAGCTCACATAAATTGAATTTTTTTCATTGGGATGGGCTGAAGGAAAACCGTTTTTCATGTGAGGGGAAATTACATAAACCCAGAAAAACTCAAATCCCTCTAATGTGACATTTGAGTGTTTTATAAGATTTTGAAAAATAATATTTTAACTTGGAAATTATGCTGAAACTTTATCCATGATTTCTACCTGTACCATTACTCTATAAATTAGTAATTGATGTTCAAGGCATAAGTCTTCTTTTCCTCTTGGTGATTTGTATCATGTGATAATGATAACACTATCACAGGGTTTAACTGGAAAATAGGACTACATGGCCAAAAATAGCACGGAATGATCAAGAGGGCCATCTTATTTGTATAACGTTGAAACACAATACACCACAGAACTGTCACAGACTATAAGCGGCATCTGAGCAACCATAATGGTACTTCATTACAAGTATACATATACCAGGTAAGTATGCACAGTGCAATGAACTATCATTTAAAATGTTGGAAGTGAGGGTTTGAGTTTGACAGACTGAAGAAACTCTGTATAGAATTGTACTTAAGAACTCAACTTCAAATATAGTGAAACTATGCCACCATATTTTCTGTCACTGGTCTACCAGACTCAAGAGTAGAATAATCTAAAATAGTGGTTTATCAATCAATTCTTCCTAGTGTTGACAGGTGTCAGAAGACAGAGTGGGTTGTTAGGTAACACAGGACAGCAATTATCCACCATAAACCATGTTACAGATTATGGGAAAAGTCCTAAGCATGTCTACTTGAAAGTAAGTCCCATTTTATTTAGTGAGGTTCATTTCCAAGAAAGTAACTTCCACTTCAGTTTATCAGAGAAGGCAAAAGGCACTGCTATCAGCTTTGCTTTGTATGTTGTTATCCAGAAATGCATATTTACTATTTTCCTTGTTCATTCCTTTGTAATAAAATTAGCAGTTATGTGTGTCACTGCTGTGGATTTCATTACAATCTTTTGGTATGTAAACTAAAAATTAGACATCCCTGATGAGCTGGTATTCCAAAACATCTAGTATTTGGAGGATTTTCTTCCACCAGTTAATATACCTCTGCATATGTATGTGGTGACATACTAGGTTGGATGAAGTCAGAACCATTGCAGTCTACAGAGATCTCTTGGGTTAAAAATGCAAAACTGTCTACAGAACTCTTTTGGGTTAAAAGTGCTTTCTCAATTGATCTTGTACTCCATCCTATTCCTTTTTTGCAGATGACAAAAAGACACACGGCCACGAAGCCCCAATGAACCACCTGACATGTTAACCACTGAATCGCAGGGCCTCTCCACTGTCAACCTGAGCTATCACCCTAATTTAAGAAATCAGGGTTCATTTCGATTAAAACCGTGGGAGTGTCAATAGAATCTGCTCCCAACAAATCTCTGGAGGGCTGCCCAAAGCAAGCGCACTGTCGATCTTCTCCCAGGCACTAAGTAAGCGCCTCGTGGTCAATGCTCCCTCTAAGCTGTGGAGTCTTGTGAGCAAAAATCCTACTTTCTGAGCTACTGACATTAAAGTTGTGAGCGAGCGATTTGGCTACTGCATCAATTAGTTTGCTCTGGAGCCATCCTTCCTGAGTGAGGACAAAAATGTGTGAGCCGGAGGCTAAAAAACTGTGAGCTAGCTCACACTAACTCAGCTTAGAGGGAACACCGCTCGTGGTCTCTTTTGGTGCGGGAAGAGGGAGGTTTCAGATAGGAACAGTGTCATTGTAGCAGTCTAGGAAGGGAGGAGCCGGGGGCGGAGCCAAGCTGCGGTGTTGGTACACAAAGAGAAGCGACTGCACGTTGCCGAGTGGAAGCCGCGCCTTTCCCTTCTCTCCCCCTCCTCCTCTGACGTCGCCGCATTCCACCCTCAAAAGCGGAGGCAGTGAAAGGCATTCTCTAGACCTGATCGCGACGTTCCACGAGAGTATCTTTTTGCTGCGCCTTGTGTTGATCTTATCAGAAAGCTAGCAAAGCATCAAAAGACACATACCTCGCCCGATTTTTGTCAGTTTAATTTAAGAAGAGAACTATAAATTATTATTTTATACCGGCTTAAAAAAATACTTTTTTGTCTACTGGGGCCTTTTAATTGCTAAATATTTAAAGGGATTTTTGTGGCTACTCTTTTTTTCTTCGAAGAAGCTATTTAATTACGATCTCATAAAAGATCCCGAAAGAAGCTCCCGAACATCCACACTGTAAGCTTCACTGGTTAAGGTAAAAAAAAAAAATATCGGAATGTTTCTATGGTTTGGGGAGTGGGTGGGAAGGGTTTTCAGAGGGAGGGGAGTGTTTAAATGTATAACTTAGTATTAAATGGCCTTTGTTATGTAACATTGTATTAAATGAATGGGGGGGGGGACCACCCGGCCAGCACTGCTGCATCCGGGTAGTGGTTAAAAAAAGACGCATATATCATAGATCGGAGCTGCTGGTGCAGTCTCGTCTTGTGACTGATTTGCATTTTTTGGCGTTTAATATTCGGAGATCTCATTTTTGGAGGGGGAGACAGCAAGGAGTGATAAGGGAACAGCAAAGGCTAAAGTAAAGAAAAGGGAATGTGTTAATCCTTCAACTAGGTTGCATCATATTCAGAAGGTGGCAGGGGTGGAGTTAGTCCGTTTTCGAGGCTTTCAGGCAGAATAGCTGTTAGGTTTGCTTATGTGTATGTATACATAATCGAAGTTTCCGTGTAAATGGATCTTCATTAAGCTAACTACTCCTTGCAGTTCAAAGGCTCAGATCAGGTTTGCTTATCTCTAAATAGGTCTGGATTAAGTATGGGGATGGGGAAATCAGGTGATGGTTTTTGTTTTGAAGGTCGAAATAAATTCTTAGGCGCACAATGTGCCTTTTGCGCACTCTGGCCTTTCCTACGCAGATCTTAACCCCCCTCCCTCCCGATGGCGTGAGCTCCAGTGTTGTAGTTGGAGATTATCTTTGTTCTACTGTCTTGTACTTTTCCTTCCTTCCCCCTCCCGCGTCTCCCGCCCTTCTCTGCTGGTACTTTTCCACTCGCCTGGCTGCCGATGAATCAGGCGCGGTGAACAGCAGCAATAGCGGCAGCAGCGGCGGCGGCTCACGTGACCCGGTTGGGGAGACCACTGCAGTATTGACGTTTCTTTTTTACCTTAGCAGACAAGGCAAGTCAAGTATCCAAGGACAAAAGATCAAGAAGCATCCGGGCTGCTGCCACAAACCGAAATAATTGCCTTGCCTACTTACTCTGGTGTCGAAGGAGGCATCCTGGATCCCGACATGACCAAAGCTGAGATGAGCAAGCTCAACACTTCCCCGGATGAAGACAGCAGCAGCTATAGCTCCAATGACTTCAACTACCCTTACCCAACCAAACCAGCTGCTTTAAAGAGGTTAGAGAGCTTCCTCTGAGGCATAATCCATCTCCCCTGCAGAGCAATGTGGGACCCCTCAATCATTTTTATCAGAAGTGTATTTCATCTATCTATCTATCTATCTATCTATCTATCTATCTATCTATCTATCTATCTCTATAGCCTGTTTTTAATGTTTACATTAATCATAAACATCAAAATCCAATTTTCAATTTTTTGTATTGCTACATAAATCCTACACACCTATTCAAAAATAATCATTAAAATTATTAGCATCTGCAACTGAAACAGTGAAAAATCAAAAATGGTGATCTTTTAAAAGTGGAGAACTGTTGATAATACTTACAGCTGCTTTCCCCCCCCTCCCTCTTCCTCCCATAGCCATTATGTAGACATGGATCCAGAAAACCAAAACTTTTTACTTGAAAACAATCCTGGAAAGAAGAAATATGAAACTGAATATGTAAGCATAAATTAGTTATTCCCCCTGCCAGCTACTTACATGTGACTACATGTAAGCATTTTTCAAATAGCTGATTCTGAGCTGATCTCCCCCCACCCCCTTTATTTTTACAGCATCCAGGTACTACTTCCTTTGGAATGTCAGTATTTAACCTCAGCAATGCTATTGTGGGTAGTGGCATCCTGGGGCTGTCTTACGCCATGGCAAACACGGGAATTGCTCTTTTTGTGTAAGTATTACTGATCTGTGAAAACCAGAGTATTATGTTCTGAGCATTAGTGCACATTAACACTGAAACCAATTGCTTATCTAAAGTAGCCTTGTTTGGGGAGAGAAAAATGTAATGAACAGTTAAAAGCAAACTCTTAGAGCATTTGAATGCAAACTGGTAAACCCACTGTGATGGATGGGATTAGAGCTGCAGTTCTGTACATCTTAAATTCTTACCGCACTCATGGGAGTTGTCGCCAGATCCCGTTCATGGTTAATCAGAAATGAGTGATTTTAAACATGTAAGACATAATCCAGCCAACAAAAAGGGAGGGTTTTAAAGTCATGCTTATAACTCTCTCATTAAAACAAGGGGTTCAAAACTGTTTGAATCTGATTCAGATCATGGCCACAGTAGTCTGCATTAACCTGTTTGTATGCAGACAGAGTAAGTTAAAACATGATTATATGTGCCACCTTCATACAGTCAAAACCCCAATTCACATATGTATTTTAAAATGCTATTACTTGGGGATCTTTCACCGTTCCAGTTTATGCATGGTACCATCTTCCATAAATTATCCTTTCCCAGTTTAACAGTGCAATTTTGGAGTTAGTCCAATCTCAATTCATGGATTTCAGTTGTTTTATGCTGGAGTAATTATGCATAGGATTGCACTGTAAATGAAGGAATGTTGTCCTAGGCTTATTTTTAAATTTCTCATTTATTCGCTTATGGCATAATGTTTGAATATGATATATATATCATGGAAGTGGTTTTTAAATATGCCTTTCTGTCTTCTCAGGTTCCTCAGTATGGGTCACTGATGGTCACTCTGAGATGTCCAAAATGCAGTATGCTGGTAATGTTACTGCTGCCCCAGAAACAAACTGAAGTGTGAAGCACATTTTATTGTATGGCATTTATTCATTTTTTGCTAATTTGTTTAAATATGGAAGTTTATATGCATATAAAATATAAACAAATCAAAGCAAAAATGTGCCATACAGTTTAAGAGAGAGAGAGAGAGAGAATTATTTGGCTTTATGTGCCAGTTCATGCTCCAGGAATGGTTTGCAGTGGTTACAACATCATCAGCATAATGCATGTTAGCAGTACTCTCAGGAGAGTGACTCCTAATCCAAAACCCATTTAAGAAAATTGAGGATTTCCCATTGATTACAATGTGCTTTGCATCAGGCTCTTAGAACTACATTTTCCAAAGTTCAGTCACTGTGCTTTCCCATGTAAATGCTGTGTGTGTCTGTAATACCTGGGACGGGAGCATCTACTTGACCAACATGAAACTTTTTTCCCCCCCAGTAAAGGTGTTTAGGATTAGGATGTTGACACTTGCCATGGCTAAATTTGCTCAATAGATAGGGTTGCCAAGTTGGGTGTTGCGCCGCAGCGGGGGACTCCCGGCTGGCGTCTGGAGCAGAAGTGACGTGATGACGCCGGGCACGCTGGGGGCGGGGCCACGACCATTCGAGGGAAAACCATAGCATTTTCCCTCGGATGAACGTGGCCCCGCCCCCTGCGTGCCCGGCGTGGTCGCGTCACTTCCAGGTGATGCGCACGTTGGGGTGGGGCTCCCCCTGGGGGAACGGCCTCTGGGGCGGGGGTTTCCCCGCCCCCCCGGGGGGGCTTGGCAAGCCTATCAATAGAGAACAATTTAGTAATCAGTGGCTGGGCATTCTGATGAATTAAATGGTGGGAGAACAGGTTCTTTATGGTAAATGCTCCTATGCCTCTGTAAAACAGTAATTTTATAGACCTCCACCTGTAGCTAGAAATTGGATCTGGGCTTCCATTTAAGGCACCAATTCATATATATTCAAGTTAGCTGTATGCCGGTCACAAAAAGAGAAGGAAGCATGTTAACCTTTTGAGTTGTTGTAAAATGTCTACTTTACCTTCTAAGATTAGATGGATGATGGAAGAGTACTGAAGAACATAAAATACTTATAGCAGTTTTATACAAATGAATCGCTATCAATGCAATCCTATGCAGATCTATTCCAGTCTAAGCCAATAGAAATAAATAGGTTTAGACTGTGGTAACTGTGAGGCATTACACTCTGTGTAAGCTCCATCCCTAACTGTGAGGCATTACACTCTGTGTAAGCTCCATCCCTAACAAATGACCGTTTTGTAAGAACTACTTTTCCTATTAACCAGGCCAACAATGAAATGGGGCAATGTGATTTGATCCACAAAATTAACATAATATTGTTGTACTGTACACCTCAGACTTAATAATGCTTTGAAATAAATACTCTTTCAGTAAGAACGGAGCCAGTTTAACAATTTAACATTGAAATCCTAAATATATTGAATGGAGTTCAACAAACATTTATGTATGTTTGAATTCCATTTAAATTAATGAGGTTTGAACACGTGTAGCTTTGTATTGAATTGCATTAGTATGATAGAAACCCTAATTAAAGTTCTAGGACTCATCAGCATTAAATGTATGTAAGGGAAAATTGAAAGTGCTTTTTAAAATCAATTTGATTTTTATGGATTTTGAATTGAGGTGCCAATATTTTCTAAATTATTCCTATAGAGTAACCTGCCATCTTACTCCAAAATATTATAATTTATATGCCAGCATTGAATCTTTGGAACTATAACCATGAACTATCTAAACTAATATCATAAGTTTTATTTAAATTAACCAGAAATAAAGAAGTAAAATGCAACTTCCCTTTTTGGACCTGTTAATGTTTCAGATGTGTAAACTGGTTTAAATCCAATACTGATGCCTAAATGTGTTTATTGATGGGACTGTATATAAACATATAAAGCTTAGAATGCTTCCTGACCTAAATTATAGTTCATCTATATTATTATTTTGTGTTTTATTGATGAGCATCATCCAGCCAGAATTTAAGACTTTGATTTCTGTGGAAAAGTTAATCATACAATTAAATCTGATAGAATCAGGCTGCGATCACACTCACTAAATAATCCACTTTCAGTCAACTTTCCAACTGGATTTTACTGTATGAACTGGCAAAATCCAGTTGGAAAGTGCATTGAAAGTGGATTATTTCGTGTGTGTGATTGAAGCCTCACAGTGTTAAACTTTGGCAGGGATGAGTCCTGAATGCTTGGTAGACTTGCTATATATCTACATTTATTGTATTTCAGTCAGAGTGATATTTGTTATTTTCTTTTTAGAATTCTTCTAGTCTTCGTATCAATATTCTCTTTGTATTCCGTTCACCTCCTCTTGAAGACTGCTAATGAAGGAGGTATGATAATACTGGTTTTTTGTAAATTAGAAACTTTATTTTCCCCTCCCTTTCTAGCTTACAAGGTTACAACTATTTTATTTTCTGTGGTTACAGGATCTCTGTTATATGAACAGTTAGGGATGAAGGCATTTGGCATGGCTGGGAAACTTGCAGCATCTGGATCAATTACAATGCAGAATATTGGAGGTGAGGACTTTCAAATGCCATGTCCTTTTAAATGATGTTATAAAAACAGTTTTCTCTGTTGTGATAAAACAGTTTTGTCACATAAAATGCTTCTGTTAATGACGAAATAGCATTAACGAAGTATATTTTGTGACTCTTCAATATATGTTATCAATTTGTAATGATCTACAATATTATTCACCTGCAGCTATGTCAAGCTACCTCTTCATAGTGAAATATGAGTTACCATTGGTCATCAAGGCATTTATGAACATCGACGAAAACACAGGGTAGGTCTTAGCAGAGAAACTGGCAGTAGAACCAGAAATGGGCATTGTAAATACTGTCTCTGGGGACCTCTGTTGAAATGTGTAAGTGTAACCTCTTACCTGAAGGAAGAGAACACTGGTAAGCTCCTGTTACACCAGCCAGCTTCTTGAGTACTTTATTTGTCCTGTGAGCTTGACTTTACCAGAGAATGGGCTAGGGAAAAATCTTTTGCTTTGACAAAATAATGAATCTGTATCAAACTGAATTGTGTGTCCATTTACCTAATATGGCTTTGTTTTGAAAGTTTTAATACACCTGTGTACTCTGAGGTTTGTTTGTTTGTCTGTAAGCCAGTGCATATAACATTTTTGTACATTACCTGTCTGCAAAATAGTACTGTAAAAACAATGGTGCAACCATGGATGCAACTCTTGCATTAAAGGGTGATATTTTTATTCACAACTGAGCTGGATCTGCCGGAATTCTGAGATCCTACAGTTGCATAACATGTTAGGATCAGGCAGTGGTTTGCATTGACTTCAGAGGAATTTCCACATAGTTCTAGCAATCTAGAGAAAGCAGTGAAACACCATGGAGTTCATTACTGTTTGAGGACGCAGTTCTAGGTTCACATAACTTTATCAAGATTGTGCTTAGTGAGTTTAGTCCATAAGTAGAAATTAGTAGTGTTTTTTATTGTTGTTAAATTAGTTCTAATTTCTTGGGAAATGTTCGTTCCATGTTTGGAGTGCATCACCCACATATGATAAGAACTTGGTAGGGCTTACAGAGTCTGGGATGCCTGCTCCTTCAGTACATTGTATGGATGCATACACAGGTATCACATGAGGCCTCGTTAAAGCAACTGAGAGGTCTGTGCCTACCTCCCTTTTGCCCATCCAACCCTCCCATCTCTGCAAGAATGTTCACTTGCATTGCTTGATTAAACCAAAACAGGAGGGCTTCATGGTCCCCTTTATGTGTTTGAGCAATGGAGCTGTGCTTCATGGAGGACAGTTTGTGTTTAAAGATTGCTTCCTTAAGGGCATATCTCCACTAGTTCCTATTAAACTTAAAACCGGTTGCAATCCTAAGAACAATTCCCTAGGAATAAGCCCTGTTCAGTACAAGGGACCTTACTTTTGAGTAGACAATCATGTTCCCAGTGCCTCTAGATTTAAAACATATAAATATATTCCCACTCTATAGCAGAAGAAACATTTTCCCACAGATCGACAAGGACAAAGATTACATTTGAATAATGTTGTAGGAGTGTGATATACTAAAAAAAAACATTTAGCACATCACATACCTTTGTGTGCATTTGTAATATTAATGGTTAGGTAAAACTATCATGCTTCAGTCCTAAACATACAGGACTGTCTGGATACATATGAGATTTGCAGTTATTAGCTGAAAAAGTTTAACACTGGAGTTGGTGGCAGATTCATCACAATGCAATTTGTTCATTTTCCGGCATCCGTCAATTATGTGAAAAGTGCATAGCTATAACTTCAGCAAAATGTGTTTCCACAACTTACACCACAGTCCTGTGTGTATTTGTGTGGAAATCAGTTGGCCTTACTTCTCATTAGACTGTATACAGAATGGCAGCTTTGACTGTGGCCTTAAAAATTAAAGATGGCATTCAAAGCCATGTCAGAGATCCCATTTCAGACAGCCTGGGTGGTTAGTGCAGCTTCTACAGTTGCTTCCATGCTGGTCCCAGTATGTATAAAGTGCAGTTGGCTAGCAGTCTTCCAAGGGCTGGATGCAGCTTGCACAGTTATTAACTATAATTTCAGAGGCACACAATCCTGGCTAGAAACCAAGTGGTATTAAATCCAATACAACTGCCTTTTGAGTAAATGTGTTTATGACTAAGGTGCCATGTCTTCCCAGGGTAGGTGCAGCACCCCCAAAATTATTTTGCTAGCCTGGAATACTAGTATCATTAACCTTGAGCTACTTTAACTGTAGATGTGATCACCATGCAATGCTTTGACTGTAACTTTTCTTTCTTTTCTTACAGACAGTGGTATCTGAACGGTGACTATTTGGTTCTGTTGGTATCCTTGGTGCTTATTCTTCCTTTGTCACTGTTGAAAAATTTAGGTAAGTTGGTATTAATTTTTACGTATGCCTTTTATGTAAGGTTGAGAGAGTGAGAGAGAGCGTACTAATTCTCTTTAGCTTCAACATGAGATGCCTTCAGTATAGAAGCCATTTCTGCTCCATTGGCTTCATATTTACTGAGGTAGATTTACAAGTAGCCCCAATTGGTATATACAAAGAATCTCCTTATAAGAATCTTTAATATTTTTTTAAAGTGTTGCACAGGCACATTGTGAAAGGACGGGAGGTTTGCACCACGCTCAGTCTAACTGACTTGGTTGTAGCAATACATAATTTATTGATTGACTGATTGATTTTATTGATTTTTATCCCACCCATATGGCCTTGGCTGGCTCAGGGCGGCTTACAACAGAATAAAAGTTCTCATAATACATAAAACATGATTCATTACACTAATACAGTTCCTGATAAATAATAATACAGCAATATAAAAACAGTGTTAAAATCAAATATAGTGTTAAAGTGTTAGCAAATTCAAATTTTTGCTTTAATTCTATTGGTCTGCTTCAGTTAGGGGAGCGTAGGATGGGCAGGAGTCATAGGGACCAGCGGCCAGGACCATAGCCAGGATTTTGTAATTCTGGGGGCCTTTAAATAAGTAGGGGGGCACTAACATTACAGAATAAAAAATAAAATAAAACTTTAAAAACTCATTTTTGCAGCATTTGCATTTTGCTTGCCTACGCAGGGAAGCAAGCTGCGCTTGGGGAAAGGGCGCGGTGGGGAGTCCTCCAGGTGACCCAGAGAGTTGGGTGGCCTGGGGGCTGCACAGAAGTTAGGGGGACTTGGCAGGAAGTCGGGGCCAGGCCCCAAAATGTCCCACATTAGCTACGGGCCTGCCAGCAGCTCAGGGCTGCCACCATGGTTGTCAGTTGTTGTTATTAATAGTGACACCAGTAGTTGTGGTGGTGGTGGCAGCTCCAAAAGCTTGGCGAAAGAGTTCCATTTTACAGGCCCTGAAGGGCCCTGGTCTCCTCTGGGAGCTCATTCCATCAGAGTGGAGCCGCCACCAAAAAGGCCCTGGCCCTGGTTGTTGCCAATCTGGACTCCTTAACAATCAGGAGGGCCAGTTGGTTCTGGGTCCCTGAATGCAGTGCTCTCTGGGGCATATATAGGGAAGGGCGGTCCCTCAGGTATGTCAGACCCTGGCCATAAAGGGCTTTAAAGGTAAGAACCAGCACCTTGAAGCGAATCCAGTATGCAATAGGCAGCCAGTGCAGCACCTTTAGCACAGGCTGGATGTGCTCCCGAATTGAGAGTCCCATCAACAGCCTGGCATTTTGTACCAGCTGCAGCTTCCGGATTTGCGACAAGGGCAGCCCCATGTAGAGGGTATTACAGTAATCCAATCTTGAGGTGACCATCGCATGGATCACTGTTGCCAAGTCGCCGCGTTTGAGGAAGGGAGCCAACTGCCTAATCAGCCGGAGATTGTAAAAGGCCAACTTGGCAGTGGCTGCTACCAGGTCTCCATTGTTAAAGAGGCATCCAGGAGCACCCCCAGGTTCCTAATCTCTGGCACTGGCACCAATGGCGCCCCATCGAAGGTCGGGAGTGGGATCCGTACCCCCGGACCGCCACAGCTCAGGCACAGGACCTCCATCTTCGTCGGATTCAATTTCATCAGGCTCAGCCTAAACCAACCAGCCACGGCCTGTAACGCCCGTTCTAAAACTTCTGGTTTGGAGTCAGATCGGCCGCCCAACAGCAGATAAAGCTGGGTGTCACATACTGATGACAACCCAGTCCATGCCTCCAGGGAATCTAGGCAAGAGGGCACATATAGATGTTAAAAAGCATCGGGGACAACACCGCCCCTTGTGGCGCTCCACATTCCAGTGGGTGCCTTCGGGACAGCTGATTTCCCAGTGCCACTCTTTGTCCCTGACCCTGGAGAAAGGAAACAAACCACACTGTAAGGCTAGTCCCTGGATTCCGGTGTCAGTACCAATTCCTTCCAATCCAATTGACTTAACCCACTCTGGTAGTTTTGCAGGCCAGACATTGGAAGGGTTATTACTCAAAAGAGCTGTACAGCTCAATCTGTTTTCCATTTCATTTGATTTCAGGATTTTTTGGCAATGAACAAACCTCTTTTAGACTTCCATCAGTTATGCAGGAAATAAGAAATGCTAACTTAACACATAACTTAAAACACTTTGTTATTACAGGTTATCTGGGTTATACAAGTGGATTTTCCTTGTTGTGCATGGTCTTCTTTCTGATTGTTGTAAGTATTAGGGTTTCTTGTTTGTATTTTTAAAATATTTGTGATATTGAGAAGGCAAAGGACTTCTAAAACAAATTATCCAGTGAAAGTAACATACTGCACTTGCTCATTCCTTGCTAGGTCATTTGCAAGAAATTTCAAATGGATATTTGTGGAGTGGATTACAATACGGTCAACCAAACTCTGAATGCCACCTTAGAACATCATTCAGCTCCTGTAGGTGTTCATGGAACATTACCCAATATAACTGATGACAAGTGCACACCAAAATACTTCATCTTCAATTCACAGGTAAGGTTAAGGATTAGCAAGAATCTGTATGTGCCAATTACAAATGTGATCATTTCTGTTTCAAAGCCTTGTTGAGTGTGGGGATTCTCATACTTTTACCCTGTAGGAGAAGGTTCAGTGCTTTTTAAGCTGCTCTTGTTAAATAGGAGCTGGCACAGTGTCATCCTAAGCAGAGTTATACTCTTCTGAAGCCATTGGAGTGCTTAGAATGGCACTGCTGGAGGGCTGAAAGCATTCTTTGAAAGCCAGTCAGCCCTGGTTGTTTTGGTTAATAGCCTGATTTAGCTTCTTTAAAGATAAACATGTTACGAAGGTATTAATGAATGCATTTTGTATGTTTTCCAGACTGTCTATGCTGTACCGATCCTAACCTTCTCCTTTGTCTGCCATCCTGCTATTCTTCCCATTTATGAAGAACTGAAAGAGTAAGAGTTCCACATATTTCACAGGGCATATTTTTCATAGAAAACAAGTGTGGAAGCATAAATTTCAGAAATAATAATGCTTTTATTTCCTTTCAAAAAGCCGAAGCCGTAGAAGAATGATGAAGGTGTCCAATGTTTCATTCTTTGCCATGTTCCTGATGTACCTTTTGGCTGCTCTCTTCGGTTACTTGACGTTTTATGGTAAATAGCCTGTTCCTGTATGTCTGTACTCTATCAGCATTTTTGGCACAGCCCAGCTAAAGGAAAACTTTTTATATATCATTTTGATTTCAGTGACATAAGTGTGAGGTTAACTGTCCCACTAGAATCATAGCATCATAGAGTTGGAAGGGACCTCCAGGGTTATCCAGCCCCCCTGCACAATGCAGGAAATTCACAAATACCTCCCCCACACACACACCTGCAGTAACTGCTGTTCCATGCACAGAAGATGACAAAAAACCTTCAGGATCCCTGACCAGTGGGTCTTTACAGAGTATAACGGTAAAGATTGTGATTCCAGGGAATTGCGTGACCCACAGCTTGAGATATACTACTGAAAAGAAGTGATTCTCATTGAGCTCTGCAGGGCTTACTTCTGTAGCAATGCAAGCATCAACAGAATTTTGCCCCTTGGTTATTATGTTGAACAAATGCACATAAAAATGGTATCTTACCTCATTTTCATGTGCGGTCCTGCCTGGTTTTCCTAGATAGAAGGGAGGAGAAGAGGAATATACCAGAGTTACCTAGTGAGAGAAGACTTCCAGCCTGCCGTTGTGCAGCCTCCACTACCTTTTAACTTATGAGATCAAGCATCTGTCTCTCTTTCCCTCTGAGTTGGTGCCAGAAGTATGTAGGGGAAAGATATGGGCGAACAGGTTGTAGTTTTCAATAGGCAAGTTACCATATCAGTAGGCTTGTTTCATGTCTGTTCTCAAGTACAAAGCAATGTAAAATTGTATTTACACTGACAGCCCAGTACGATGAACCTATTTTCACTGTGGGCTGGGAGGTGTACATTGCTTCACACTTTCAATTTTTAATATTTCATCAGCACAGGGTGAACAACATTGACAAAGTTAACATGCATACTATAAAAAGCACTTATACCAAAGGCGCTTATCAATATGATTCAGAATAAAAAATTTTTGTCTACTCCAGATATTGCTAAACAAAATGCAAATTCATTTTCCAAGATTTATGAAGCCCCATTGCAGTTTGCTCACACAATTCCATTTGGGAACTGTCATTCATTTAAGTAATTGCACAGGGATTTCACCATTGTGTTCTGGACTGCTAATGTTAATTACTAATCTGTCAAAATGCAATCTCCTTTGTAGGAAATGTTGAGCCAGAGTTACTTCATACATATTCGAATGTGCTGGGAGCTGATGTTATTCTCCTCATTGTCCGTTTGGCTGTTCTGATGGCAGTCACTCTTACAGTGCCCGTAGTGATTTTTCCGGTAAGTGACTTTACTTGGGAGGAGGCGGACAGAGCCATTAATCAATAACAGTTACTAGGAAATCAAGTTAATTTAGTGCTCATCTGCTGATTTCCTGTTTCATTTCGCTTTAAAAAAATGCAATTGTTTATCTTTGTGTAAATCAGAACTGAACTACCCTCATCAAACTGAACTATCATGAGATTCCTTTTGCTGTTAATTCCTCTTCAAACTGGAGTTAATTTGTGCTGATATCTTGCACATGGAGTGTCTGTGTGCCAGGTCCTGTATTTGTTTAAACAGAAGGAATACATTTGCATATGCAAAGAGTGAACACGTGTACCTGTTGCTCCAGTGAAATTAATAAGGCATATGTCTCATCTCCTTAGAATATGGGGCAGGGGCTAGGGCTCCATGGAAGATCCCAGATTAAATCCCTGGAATCTCCAGTTAAAAGATCTAGCAGTAGGTAATGTGAAAGACCTCCGCCGGAGACCGTGGAGAGCCACTGCCAGTCTGAGTAGACAATACTGACCTTAACAAACCAGTGATCTGATTCAGTATAACTCAGATTCCTGTGCATTCAACCAAATAAAGCTGACTGTACTATATAACCTCCACAGATCTGTTGTTGTTTTTTTTGCTCTTTTCATTGTTGTATAGAAATAAATTCCTCCTGCGCACACACATGCCATTCGATTTTCTTTCAGCAATCTTATGTGTTATTTTATTAGAAATGTTTTTTTAAAAAAATGGCTTGGAAATGTCTCTTTATGAATATGTCATGTCTAAATAAACCTCCTTGTGTTTCCCAGATCCGCAGCTCCATCACACAGTTGTTGTGCGCAGGGAAGGACTTCAGTTGGGTGCGACACAGCATTATCACAGTAGCTCTCTTGGTGTTCACCAACATTCTCGTAATCTTCGTTCCCACCATTCGAGATATATTTGGGTTCATTGGTGAGAGTTCTTTTGCTACTATTGTACCTTGTCAATGTTTTACAAAATACCTGATTAATAGAATAAGGAAGTGAACATTTTGATAAACTTCCATTTTTAAAACAGGTGCATCTGCTGCTGCCATGTTGATCTTTATCCTGCCATCTGCTTTCTACATTAAGCTTGTGAAGAAGGAACCTATGAAATCAGTACAGAAGATTGGGGTAAGTGTAGAGGAATGCTCACAATCCACACATTAATTGACCATCAAGGCCATTGCTTTCTAGAAGCAGGGTTCTCTCTTTCTGATCATCTCTTTTGTAACCTCATTTTCCTCTCTTCTCTCAAGAGATTCTGCTGCCTGTGACCATCTGGGCAGCTGTTTTTCTGCTTTGATTCCCACTATTAATTTGCTCCATAAGTAATGGGGTATCTGAAATTGCAGCTTGCAATCATAGAGCTTCTAGTATTAAATTACACTACTATTTTGAACTACAACCAGGTACATTTGGGGAATATGCATGATCACAATGACTTAATGCATTGTGCTCAACATATTTTTTTTTAAAAAAAAAATGAGAGAGGTTTGACTTCCTGCAATCCCTCCGGTGCTTCTGCAAATCCACAGGCTGTGTTTGCTTTCCTTGTAGTGGCCTCTCTCCAGCATTTTGGACAGCTCAAGCTTCGCTCTTCTGTTGGTCTGTCCAATTAGCTTTACTGCAGGCATCCTTTGTGATCAGCTGTTTGCCATTCATTTGTATTGTTGTCAATCTGTTTTGCATGGAACTGTATTAAATATCACACTGTCTTGGAAATAAGTTCCATGCAAAGGAATGAATTGAAAACAGGTGCACTTAAAATCTCAGCCTGATCCTTAACATATTAAATGGAAGTAATCACTGTTAAAAATCAATGAGATTTATGTCTATGTATTTAGTAAGAGGGTGCCAGTTGCTTTAATATCAGGTACTCTGGGTTGTTAAGGGGGAACCAAAAACACATGAAAACTACCGTATTTTTCGGACCATAAGACGCACCTGACCTTAAGACGCACCTAGTTTTTAAAGGAGGAAAACAGGGGAAAAAATATTCTGAGCCTTCGGTCCATAAGACGCACTCACTTTTCCTCCCACTTTTTTTGGAAGAAAAAGTGAGTCTTATGGTCCAAAAAATACGGTATTTTAGGATTCAACGGCTGGTCTGAGCTTTAAAGACAGACATGTATCTATGGCTTCAATACACAGGAACTATTTACTCATGGACACACAAAGCCAGAGTTTTCTTTTATAATTGCACTTAATGCAAGACGGGACGGGGTTCCCCCCCCCCCCCCCCGGATTGATGTCTTGAACTGTAGTATAGAATATACCAATAAAACCCCAGCTTTCTGAGCAATTCTATTACATATGCTAAAATAGTTTATTTGTATGAGAGTTTACGTGTTTCCGGTGAAATAATTCTTCAGTGTTTTGTATTCTGTCTTTGTAGGCTCTTCTTTTTCTGCTCAGTGGCATATTTGTGATGACTGGAAGTATGACCTTGATCATTCTGGACTGGATCCATAATGCTGCTTCCGATGGCCATTAACTGTCCACTTCAGACTCCAGTATTCATTCCCCCATCTACTAAGAGAGAGAACTTCTTACCCATGTTTGCAGTTCTGCTTCCTTTGAAATGCAGATTCTTTGATGCTGGTTCGTCTGAGTGTAGGATAGGTGGACTTTTTCCTGAAAAAAAGAAACTATTCTGCACAGTGGGAGTGGATACTGACATCAAACCACCTGAATCTTTGGCTGCGGGAAGTGACTATTTATTCCATTCCAGAGAATGGACAGCTGTCTCTGTAAAAATTTATCAAGCCAGATATTTGGCTTCTGTCATTGTTACAATTTTTTTATTATTTACTTGAATGTGCCTAATGGAAACAAGTGATATAAGAAATCAGTTAGTTTACAGCAGAGAAGGGGGTAAGCTAACCAGTGAAAGAGAAAAGAAAGCATAATTATTTTTGTACCAAAAAATTTATGGACCTCAAAAGCACTATTTTGACTTTAAGAAAATGTTTTGTAAGTTGATAATCCAAATAAGGGTAGAAAGAAACCTATAAACTGTCTAATCGGTGTTCTAAATTCAACAAGTCTGGCCTTTCGATAGAGGCATAACTTTTAAAAGTATATTTTTGGCCATGAGAAATTATTTTTTAAATTTATTATACTATAGGTCACTTAATTTGGAAAACTCAAAATTGTGACTGAGTTCTATATGTAACTCAAATTATTCTAAAACTAAAACCAAACAAAGACCCCATGTTAATATAGCTAATTCAACCAACATAAACTACCATACTGTCTTGAAAGGAGATGTTTATTCAAATTACCATGTTCTAAAAGACTTCATACCACCAGAATGGGTTATGTAGTAAACAATCTATATGTAGCAAATACAGCATCCAGTCAAAGGAATGCCAGAACCAAGCAAGTCCCTTGAAATTCATGTGTGCTGCGGAAGAGCAGTATTTGGCAGATCACAACATAGATTAATAGAACAGCAATATCTTCGCATCTTTCTTCTTGAGGTACTCAATAGTGCAATTATCATTCCGTTGCAGGTACCTTCCAAATCTTTGTCATTAATTGCCATAGGAAGTCTCCATCCCTGTTGATGGGGAATTCTCCTTACTGACAGCACACAATCTAGTGACAAAGATACACATTTTGGCTTTGTATTTTCTTTCAGTTTATTATTTGAAACAAGTAAATGTGAGGTCCTGTTATCGTTTACTAGTGGTACAGTATTCACAAACTGTACAGTATTTTTTTTCAGCATCAAGTTTTCATGGATTTTAAATTATTTTATTCTGTGTTCCTCTGAACATGTAATATATAATCTATATATTACACCAGGCTTTGGTGTAGCCAGCAGACGTTCTCTTCATAAGGCAACTGGGATTTCTAATGCAATTGATAGTGTACAGTAATCTTTTTTTAAAAAAAGATCGTGTCAGACTAGATGGTCATCTCATGTTTATTTGTTTCTGAAATAGATGTATGCTGTTGAGCCTTAACTAGTTAGCTAAAGATGCAGCTGGTGTACAGTGGGTATTAAAAACAGGATCTTTCTCTCCGTGTGGATAGATTTGTCTAGGAGATAACAGAATACTGCTTTCCCCTGTCCATCCTCCACTCAGTGTGCCTGTCCATTATAGTTCATGGGAGATCTGCTGACTCCTCTTGTATCCCTGTCCTGCCCTTGCCCCTCTGATTGGTCGAAGAATGGCAAAGGCAAGGGCAGAGTGGATGGAGACATGCACAGACCTCCCAGTCACCAAACTGTACAGCATTGTGCAGCCTGAATGAAAGTCTAATGTTTTTGTACTGAGTAGAGGGCAAACAGGACTCAGTTATGTCACAATGAGATTTCTCTGTGCATAGGCATTGCACACACGTGGGAAACGCTCATGTCTTAAAATATTTTATTGCGACAGCATGTATGTTGCAACATTTCAGTCCCAGGATGAAGAGATACGGTACTTAGTTAAGAGCACATTTGACACTGCTTGTTATACACAGATGCTACTGTAAGAATCAAGACAGGCAAGAGTTTAGATGTGTAGTGCTTTGTGGACTCCTTTCACCTATGTTCATCTGGCATAATAGTTAAGACATTTAATCTGCAGTAGTTGTTGGGTTAGAGGGATCAAACAATGGCATGTGCATCTTTTTAAGCATAGGCCCATCTCTAATATCTAGGTTTTAAAATTTAATAATGCAGATGTTTTGTTTGTATTTCTGCATGGCAACTGCTAGCCCCTAAAGTTGCTATCCTGATTCCACTGAGATCAGTAGCAATAGAAACCTGCCTTACTGAAAAGTGACTGTAATTCCCCCCCCCTTACCTATTATGAGTAGCTTGTAGTTTGACTCAAAGCCGTTATTTTTGGCAGGGCACTCTGGACTGTAATTGACTCCCAGCAGGTCCTGACCAATGTTCCCTCTAAGCTGTGGAGACTTGTGAGCAAAAATTCTGTTTTGTGAGCTACTGGCATTAAAGTTGTGAGTGAGCGATTTGGCTACTGCATAAATTAGTTTGCTCTGGAGCCATCCTTCCTCAGCTAAGACAAAAATATGTGAGCCGGAGGCTAAAAAAATGTGAGCTAACTCACACTAACTCAGCTTAGAGGGAACATTGCATCTTTCTTCTCAGAATATCCATGTCTGTATATGGAAGAACTGAAAACTATTTTGCTTTAAATACCCAAGAGATCATCACATAGGCTTGCCAAGTCCCCCCGGGGGGCGGGGAAAACCCCACCCCAGAGGCCCGTTCCCCACCGCCGGCTGATCGGGCCCCGGGGGGAGCCCCACCCCAACGTGCGCATCACCCAGAAGTGACGCAACCACGCCAGGCACGCTGGGGGTGGGGGCCACGGTCATCCAAGGGAAAACTCCCCCGCTGCGGCACAACACCCGACTTGGCAACCCTATCATCACAGCATTTCAAAGATGACAGGTTTTTAAGCAACTGGTTATCCATTTTATTTGTTCTGTGTCTCAGAACTGTCATTGGCTTTGATGGGTTAGGATTTGTTATACCTAACAAATAAGATCGATGCTTCTCTTTTTCTGCATATTTGACTAGTATAGTGGTACTCAGCCTCTTAAGTCTACTTCCAGTGTGTGACTTCGTTACATTGCCGGAAGCATGTGATAGTCTCAGTTCAGATGGCAAGTTTTCTTCCTTACCTATTAATGTGGTATTTAAAAACAAACAAACACTGATCTGTCCAGAACCTTCAAGGAATTAATATATGATAGGGCACAAAGAGGCCCCCTTTCCAGTATCTGAAAGAGATAAGTTGCCTTTAAAATTGCTTTACTGGGTCCTCTTTGCAGTTGGAAGATGGGGAGGAAGATGGGGAAAATGTTATGGTAATATTAATTATTTTGTGTCAATACATGAAGTGGCATCATTACTGGATAAGTGATATCTGGAGTGTAGACTGTGAATCACACAACTTTCTATATTATTATTCTATCACTACCAAGTTCTCCAGCTGCTCCAGTTGAGTACCACTAGGCTAGATGGATTTCTAGAGTCCAACCCTGTTTCTGATCTATCAGTTTGGAGGTTTCAGAGATCATCTGAGCTAGCAGTTTCAGTATTAAACCACTGTTTGTCACCTCATTTTAAAATTACTGTCTTCCATGTTGTTTCGTTCATAAAATGTAACATGTTATTTATAGAACAGTAACCTGTTGAAGTTAAAACCTATTTTTCAGTATTTATGGGTAGCCTCTGTACATAAATAATGTCTGTATATACTGTAAGTATGTTGTATATAATGTAGGTTGGAGATTTTGTGTTCCTGTATATATTGTTATACTTGACTGCTAATGTGTTATGCCCATGATTCATTCATTTATGTTGTACATCCGGGAAACAGTTGTTCGATGGAAGTTTCCAGAGAAATGGTACTGCTGCACCTATTGAAATTCCGGGTTCTCAAGTTGCATTAAGACAGTAACATTAATATGGTGACTGGTATCCAAAGAACTACTTCAGGCACAGCTGATGGTATTTGTAGTCCAATGAGATTACTTTCAATTTTTTCCTTTGAATTGCATATCCCATATCATATCACAAAGCTGCTTCTGTAACTTCCCTCAGTTTCAAAAGCAGTTTGCTATGTGTCATGGCAGAAGTTGCTGCTGTTTGAAGGAAATAAGTTGAAAGACATTTTGGGGTTCACAGAACTAGTTTCATAGTTCTTTGGAACTTGGCCATTGACAACAAGGGCTGTAATGCATGCAGAGCTCTATGAGTGCTAGGGATTTGTCATTGAGACATCTTCCCCCCCTCACAGGGGATGGCAAGCCCCACTGAGCATGGAGCTTCTGATTGTGCCCTTTCTTACCAATGTATACACTGCAATAAATGTGAACCTTTGGAGTCTATGAAGTTCAGGTTTTCAAAGTATAAATTGCCATAGATTATTTCAGCAACTGATTTAAAAATCTGATATATCAGGCCTTCCTGTACAGGTATGATACTACTTTGTATATACTGTATATAATGTGTGTGTGTATGTATATATATATAAATAGAGAAAACACTGTATTGTTAGGTCAACAATTTAACTACAATTGTTGAGAGAAAGTGCTACACAGTTTCAATGAAACATTGTATGTTTTAACTAAAATAAAGATATAATCTTAACAAATTGTGTGAGTCTAGAACATATTCCCATACAGAAAATGTAAGATTATAGATTTGACAACTGTTCATTTTGTTTATGAGGATGATAGATTATTGACCAAATAATTTATGATGGTATACTTAACTTGAGTGACCTTAGGATTTCAAAACAAAAAGGAATCATGTTACATTTTTAAAGGTTTAACAGATTTATTGTGGCATAAGCTTTTGTGCAGGTTTGTGCTACAAGAAATTGTCTAGTGCTGGGTGCAAACCATGTGGTTGGATCCAAAGAACTTGCTCCATGAGTGGATAAGTAACTTTGCTTCAACCATGGTCTTTAAGGAGTCATTGGGTTCCTTTTTGGATTAGTAGACAAAGGCCATGATCCTTACCTAGGAGTAAGTTCTAGTGAACTCGGTGGGATTTAGTTCTGAGTAGACCTGCTAGAGCTTGCTCCCTGTCAGTGCTCTCTGCAGAGTTACTCTGGTCTAAGCCCACTGACTGCAGTGACAATGCATAGAAGTGCACTGTGAAATGGCTACCTATCTGTATGCAAAAAATGAACAAAATGCATCTAGCTTGGTAGTTGCATAAGACACTGATTGCAAAGAACCAGGTGGCAGTTCCCAAACACTGCTGCTGGCCCTGCCACACTTGAGTTCGCTGAGCTTATAGCACAGAATGACCCCTGAAGTACTCAACCCTATTTGTAGTAGCGGTGTTATGAAATACAGCCTACAGAATACTTTGTTGTGTGGTGGTGCAATAAATTTAGGCATGCGTAATATGGCACCAGCCCCCCATTACTACATCAGAACATTAGTTCTTGTTACACAAAATACTGCCTTGAAGTTACTTTACAGGGTACATTAGAAAACTTGATTGGATCTGGCATGTTTCAGTGGATTTCCATGAGGTTGCTCCCTGGGAACCTGAAGTAAAAATCCAATGACAAACACCAGCTAGTACAAATGTGAGAAGGAAACGTTAACCCTCCATCGTTGCACTCCATATTAAAAGTACTTGGGCTGTGATAGCTGAAGTATAGCCTCCACCTACCCGCTTCTCAACTCTTTTACCCATTGGGGAAACTCAGTCATTTGCAGGTTTTAAGCCACAATATGGAAAGGTACTTAAGAACTGTATTGCTTCAGATAAAACATTGGACATCTGTGCTATGTAGAATTGCCAGCCCTTATACTGTGTCAAAGGCATTTATTTGTTTAATACCCTGCTTTCCTCCCCAATAGAGCTCCAAGGCAGCTTACACTATCCTCATCATAACCTTGTGAGGTAGGTTAGGCTGAATGACAGTAACTCACCCAGCAAGCTTCCATGGCAGAATGGGGGTGTGAACCTAAAGCACACTGGCTGCCATTATGTTTCTCATCTAGAAGGCTTTTGATCTGACTGAGTATGGGATGGTGCCTTGTCATCTGTTGTATCATACGAATGGTTTCGTGACAAAATGTTGTTTGGACATTGCTTTTTTACTACTGATGTTTGCTGCCTTGGGGCCCCATATGAGGCAGAAAGACAGCATGTAAATTGCCTAAGTAAATAAAAGAAATCCATAAAGAAATCTAGACTTTTGGTATCAGTATACTAGGGAGGGGTCAGTAGGAGATGCAGCTTCCTCTAACACAATTTGTACCTCCTTTGTATGTTACAAGAGCAACATACCCTTTCACACTCTGCAGTAGCAACCCAAACTCTGTGTAGTGCTTTGGAGAAAAGACCATACATTGCATTCCCTGCAGTTTTAGAATAATTGTATTTTAAAATAAGGGATTATTCTTGGCTCCACTACCTTTTGGGTGAAGTAGGGGACTACACCTCCACACTGTATTATAGAAAGCAGTTTTTACAGGAGAGAAGTTCATTCTTTCTCAGTTCTTGATTGCTTTGCTAAGATGGTAAATCAATACAAGTGATGACGTGTTTAGTATTTGGGATGCTTCTCTGAATTGGAATAGAGCCACCAACCAGATGTAATCACCTGGAACAGAACAGCCTTTTGTCACATGTCCTTGAGCAATTCAGTTTGCATTTACGTCACCAGGCAACAAACTTTCCCATGCTGATTTGTGGATTGGAATTACAGAATTTGTTTAGGTATCTAAGGACACATCCTAACATGCCACATAAAACCTGACACTTGTGTGAGTTCTAGGTGGTATTGCCTTTTTTAAAAAAACAGCAAAAGCAATTACCCTCCCAAATTATTTCACAGTGAATGTTTTTCCAAAGCAAAACTGTGAAAACAGACCAGTTTTCTATCCAAAATATCCGATGCACCCCAACTCACAAGGCTTTCCCTGCATGTGATTCATGTTTACGTCACCTAATCCACTTGAACTTTTTACCTTATTTCTCTGTAAAACTATGTCTTCCAATTATGGATTTACGGTGGCTAAAATTGGTTCAACTGGGTTAACTCTGAAGGCCATTTCATGCAATCCTCCCATCAATTAAAACATTCCTGCTTTATTATTTTTCAGTTTAATTAGGAATCTCAAGGTGCTGGTGTTGAAATTTAAAGCCCTATAATGCTTGGGACCAACTTACCTTAAAGATTGCCTGCTCCCATATGAACCTACCTGATCACTGTGGTCATTGTCAGGGACTCTTTGGGTGTTCTTGGGATCTGAGGCCAAGAAAAGGCCTTCTCAGTTGTGACACCAACCTTATGGCATTTCCTCCCCAGGAAGATTCATCTGTCCCCCTGATCACGGTCTTCTTTCAGCAGGTGAAGACCTTCCTGTTTATGTGTTTCAATTATGTGTTTTGTTTAATTGTTGTTTTCAATTAGGGTTGCCAAGTGACTTATGGTTAAAAGC